TTCCAACTGACCTTGTGGCCCAATGTTTATCCTACAGGACCACACTATTGAGTAGCTATTTCCTGTGGAGAGTTACTTTCCTTTTGTGACTTAATTACATGTTAGGTTAAACTTTTTGTTGTTGTTGCTGTTATTAAGTGCCATCTAATCATTTCAGGTTTCCAAGGAGCAGTTAGTGGGTTTGAACTACAGATCTTGTGGTTTGCAGGTCAGTGCTGATCCTACAGCGCTACACCAGAAGTCCTTGTTGCTTTTCTTAGTGGTGTTAAGTGTCGTCGAGTTGGCTGAGACTCAGGTGCTTTCAGGTTCTTACTCATAGCGAGCTTATGAACAACAGAACAAAACACTGCTTGGTCCTGCATCATCTTCACAATCATTTTTAAGGTTTAGCCCATTGCTGTTCTCACTGTGCCAATTCATATTGTTGAGGACCTTCCTCTTTTTCACTGACCCTCCACTTTTCCTAGCATAATGTTCTTCTCCAAAGATTAGTCCCTCCTGATAATACGTCCAAAGTATGAGATACCAAGTCTAGTCCTTCCTGGCTTCTACTGAGCATTCTCTCAGTACTTCTTTGAACACAGATTTGTTTGTTCTTCTGGCAGTTGATGAAAAATGTTAATATTCTTCTACCACACCATAACTCAAAGGCATCTCTTCTTCTATAGTCTTCCTTTTTCACTGTCCAAATTTCACATGCATTTGAAGCTACTAAAAATGCCGTGACTTAGGTCAGGCGCACCTATGTCCTCAAACTGATACGTTTGCTGTTAAACATTTTAAAGAGGTCTTGTGCATCAGGTTTGCCTAATGGAATAAGTAATTTGATTTCTTGACTGCTGCTTCCATAAGTGTTGATAGTGGACCTGAGCAAAATGAAATATTTGACAATTTCAGTCTTTTCTCATGACATTATTTATTGGTACAATGGTGAGGATTTGCATCTTTACATAGATGTGCAACCCATACTGAAGGCTGTGGTCTTTGATCTTCATCAGTAAGCATTTCATGTCTTCTTAATTTTCAGAAAGCAAGACTATATCATCTGCATATAGCCGATTGTTAATGATCTCACCTCCCATCCTGATGCCTTTTTCTTCTTCATGTAATACAGCTTCTTGGATTATTTGCTCAGCAGACAAATTAAGTAAGTATGGTGAAAGACTACAGCCCTGGTGCACACTCTTCTTAATATTAAATGACTCAGTGTCTTCTTTCACTGTTTGAATAACTGCCTCTTATTCTAGGCACACATTAATCATGAGCACAACTAAAGTGTTCAGGATTACTCATTCTCTGTAATGTCATACATAGTTTATCATTATCCACATAGTCAAAAACCTTTGCATACTCAATAAAACATAGGTAAATATATTTCTATTATTTGGTGCTTTTAGCCAAGATATATCTGACATCAACAACGGTGTCAATCATGCCACATCCTCTTCCAAATACAGCTCAACCCTCTAGCAGATCCCTGTCCATGTACTGTTGGAGCGATTTTTAAATTTTCTGCAACAAAAATTAACTTGCATGTGATATTAATTATTATGTCTGATGATATCTACATTTGTTGGGTACCCTCTTTTTGGAATTGGCATAAATATGGATCTCTTCCAATCATTTGGCCAGGTAGCTGTCTTTCAAATTTTTTGATATAGATGAGTGAGTCCCTCCATTGCTGCGTCAGTTTGTTGAAATATTTTAAATTTGTATTCCATAAATTCTTGGAGCCTTGCTCTTTTGCAATGCCTTCAGTTTACCTTGGACATTTTCCTTCAGTACCATTGGTTCTTGATCATATGCTATCTCTTGACATGGTTAAACATCCTCCTTTTCTTTTTAGTACAATGATTCTGAATATTCTTTCCATCTTCTTTCAATGATTTCTGCATCATTCAACATTTTGCCGAAAGAATCCTTTAATATTTCAAGTCGAGGCTTGGATTTTTTTTCTTCAGTCCTTTCAACTTGCTAAGAAATGCTAAGCATGTTCATCCCTTTGGGTTTTTTAACTCCGGGTCTTTGCACATTCAACTATAATAGTTGACTTTGTCTTCTTGAACTGCCCTTTTGA